CCCCAAAACCCCAAAACCCCAAAACCCCAAAACCCCATGAATATCATGAGATATTGAAATGAACTCTCTGTATTGTTTGGTGACAAATACCCTTTATTTAGCAAATTTAGGTTCCTTAAACCTTATTCTCCTTCTTTTTGACTTGAAGATATCAACTCCAGGGATAGAACTGAAGTTTGGAGAAGGAAAACCTGTCGATACTCTAGGGATGTTAGCTCGTTCATCATCAATTGTAAAGGCCTAAATGTTTGAAGCTATAAAACTTACATTTAAGACAGATGGAGTAAAATCATGTTTGTCTAGATTGTTATCTAAGAGACAAACCTAGGATCTTGATAGGTTTCCTGTTGTTGTTTTCATGAAAAGAATAATTCACACTTTGATTGGGATCTAAAGTTTAAGAAAGTGCTACTGTGGATTAAGGAATCATTTGGAGATAGACTCTTAAATAACTCATTTCCATCTTTATCAAACGATGAATTTCGACCACTATTTCTGATGATTTCATTATTAAATTTCTTTCTGATGATTTTCTATGATATAAAACGTAAATTTACATTATCTTTATAGAATATTGATTTGTTGTCTCTGATAAAATTCTTGAAATCGTCAAAATAAGTACTAGTAGCTCTACCAGAATGTTTTGATCTGATTTCTAAAGCAGACTCATACTGAAGGATACTTGATATCTTTATTTCATGTCTCATTTTCTCAAATTCTTCTCTCAGGCTTTCATTGTTTTCATCAACCAGAGCTCTTGGGCATAGCTCCGTTAGTTGTACTTTTATGTCTATTTTTACAGATTTTCCTTACCTTCAATGTCTTTTGACATTTGGTTTCCTTTTTCAAGCTGGTTAATCATAGACATTCTGGTTTGTTCAATTTTGAAGCTTTATGATAATAAAAAAAACTCACTTGACTTTTTCCTCAAGGTTTTGCAAGTCTTCTTCAAGTACATTGGATCCTTGTCCATCAAAACCCTTCTATAAAAAGTGATACATTAGTTGTTTTTGAGTTACCTTCTTACGGAAGAAGTGAGATCCCCTCCTCTTGATAGGTGAAGGATAATTTTTAATAGGACTTTGGTCAATTTCATCATGAATTACGTCTATTCTGTCATCTATCTCTAGAAATTTTGACTCAAGGTCTTGAGCAGACTTTATAATGTCTTCTTCTAATTGTTCCTTAACTTCTCCGATGTACTAAAGTATTTTGGATAGCTTACATTTACAGCATCTTTGCTAGTAATTCATTCTTTTTGGGTAGCACTGAGTCAATCAAATTTTTCACTCAGGTCTAGAGATTATACAAACTTGCACCATTTTGAGCCTCGGATACTCCACAAATATTTCTCTGGAGCTTATTGCTACAAGCATCGACCATGCTCTGGATTTGTTGTTGGGAAGGAATCTTCTCTCTGGTCTCTCGAATCTAAAGATTAACTTTAGATTACACTTGTCTTGATCTTTTCTATATCAGAGTCTTGAAGTTCCAAAAACTGGTTAGTATCAGTTATTTTCTGGCTGACATCTGAAAATTGTTGCTCGACTTTGCACTCTTGGTTGTGTAATTTATTTCTAGAAATTATAGAAAAAATACTTGAAAGTCCTTAAACTCAAGGTTACATTCTTCAATCAAAATTTTGGTCTTCCTCAGTTTTGGCTCTATGTGATTCAAAGTGTTTTCCTCAATGAAATCTTTGACTTTGATATCCATATGGTTCTCAAGTTTGTGCAGCCTATAATATAATATTTCAAAATTACTTAGAATCTGTGAGAAGATTTATTTCTGCTGTATTTTTGCTAATTTCTTCAGCGAACCTTTTCGGAAGTTTAAAGAGGTCAGAGATCTTATTCATAACATCGTTCATCTCTTTAAGCTTGTAATCGACTCTTGATCTGAGATCTGTTACTCCGATCTATATGGTAAATTTGGACTATAAGCATACCCTCATTTGCTCAAATTTGGAGCTCATATCTCCTTTAAACCCAATGAGACTTTTATTTTGTTGAACCTCGAACATTGAGATTTTTCTAGTAAGAATTTCTTTTAGTTTGCCTAAAGTTTAAATTTGAAGCAATTTAGTCGGTTTTTTAGGAATAAAAACTTTGGAGTCTTACCTTGCTCCTAAATAGTGGTCAACAAGAAGAACCTACTTTATGCAGCTTGGTGAACTTAGCCTGACATTTCTGATCGTTGTTATCAATCAACTTCTTGACATCATTGATTTTGAAATGAGTATTCATAGCGTTCTTTACAAGATGCTCAATGGTATTCACAATTCATTCAGGAATATTCTTGTATTGGGAAGGTGAAAATGAAGCAAGGGGACTGTCAGTCCATGGCGCATAACTTATTATCAAGGATGGCTCTGGACTCTTCCTTTCAAAGCTCTGATCCATTTTTATTTATCTTTGATTATTTCTCTTTCTATATATTCTTATTTGGCAGGGGTTTTGGGGTTTTGGGGTTTTGGGGTTTTGGGGTTTTGGGG